TGCTTGTTGTGCCAAGGGTAGCTATGGAGATCTCGTACAAGCTGTGCAGTAGTGATACGCTGAAGAGTTCTTTATGCATTTGGTTATGAATGATCAAGAAAATATTATGGTTTCTAAGAACTCGCTCAAAATTTTCCATATGTACATCAGTCAATCCCCTCGCACGACATGAAAATGACAGTATATAAAATAACTTCAGAAATATATTTCTGTAGTGAAGATGTTCATTTGACCTCAGTGTGCTCATGTTTTTTACATTGTTTCTGGTACATCATGAAATAAAGAATAGTATATCCAACCAACTGTATTTCTCCAAGGCATTGAAAATGCTCTAGAAGAGTTTTTAACTGTCAATTTAAATATCACTGCCACTAATCCTTTTTCTTGCACCTCAGCTCAGTTTTAATTCCTGTTTATAATCATTATGAGCTCCTGTAAAATATAACTTTAATATGAATGACTACATGCAAGTGTTAATGCAGTGCTCCATCTATTCTAGGGCTTTGAGATAGTTTAATGAGACTGATTTTTACACTGATGCATTTAAATTAATATGCATTACCAATACAGTCAAGATCCAGGGCAATTAAGTTCATTACTTATTAGATGGGAGTTCTTTTCCTCTGTGAAATAGAAGAAGGAATTTATTTTATGCAAATTCTAGCCCAGATGTTTTGCTTTAAAGGGCAGCAGAAAAGGATGAATTTGGAGTGGTTCCTTTGCCCATGTTGAAACTGGACACCAAAAGTGACGGCTTTGACTTATCATTGGTAGACATGGTTATAAATATTCCTGTGGGATACAAAAGAACAGTGGCTCTGTTGGTGTTGCCACATTTAATGTAACACTACCCAGGAAAAAGAGCACTAGGTAATCATTATTGCACTTCTAAATTGTTGATAGCATTGCAAATTCATTTTGATCTGGAAAATGCAAACGGTGGGCACAGAATATTCCTTCTAGGGGTGATATTCAGTGTATTGCAACATCATGGCCCATAGTCCAGGAGGAACTGAAGCCCTTTGGGACAGTTGGCTCCAGGGAAAGTAGGTGTGGACATTCTTTTAAGAAAATGAGCTTCCATATGAAAGCTGGAGACCTAAAACTCAGTCACCTTCCTGTCCCCAAAGGCACACAAGGATAAGGCAATGCATGATACGGAAGAGAAAAGTTGTTGAAATTAAGATATCAGGACTTTATGCAAAGGGAAAACTTGCAGGCAAAGGATGATCTGAAGAATGCAGCAATAAAAACTGCCTGAAGCATCTGGGAAAACACAAGTACGAAGATGAAAGAGGAAAAGAGGGAAAAAGGTGACCCAGAGGTCAAATTCATATGAGTTGGGAATGTGCAGAAGGTGAGGACAATTCTGTGGGTGAGATCCTGGAAAAGATGCAGTAAATATATTTAAAAAGCAACATGTTGGTACTCTGACTGGGTAACAGAGTTTTTGTTTGAAGTGTTTGAGAATTGAGGTCACAGTATTTAGACTTAGACTGTAAGGGGTAACACAGTTGGAAGCAGGATAGATGAGATGGTTTAACAGGGCTTCATTGTAGTCACATTAATTCAGTTTAAATAATTAATTCTCTTTTAAATTGACTCTATTTTGCACACTTGACATTTTGGAAAATCTGCCATTGCCTGGCCTTCTGGTAAATGCTTTTGCATTTGTTTTCCATTGCTTCCTTCTTGAAAAAAAATGCTTGTCACTAACAGGAACCATCAGCAGCATGGAACAAATTGACTTGCCAAGGACATTTCCTCCCATCTCATTATTTATAGTGTAAGTACTCTTTTATTTGTATCGAGAGTCACAGTGTGATTTTTAAAAATTGCCATTTATTAAGGTAACTTTATACTGTACTATGAGTTAAATTCAGACTTGGTTATATAAACTACTTTCTGTGCATCAACATTTGGTCATACATTTTCCAAGGAGGTGATCAAGCAGTGTAATTAATAATCAATTCACTGTTCTCTCTGCCTACCTCATTATGTAGAGCCCCTGACTGTTGCAAGAGAGGGTCTCCCCTAGGTACAAATCAGAGCAGATACATCACACTCCCTCTTCTCTTAGCACATTGATTCTGAGCCTCAAGTGGCTGAGATTGAGTGGATCTATAATGTTATTTGGCACAAATTGGGTTAAACAAACAGGTTGTGTATTTTACTCTCAAGGTGATTTGGTTTGTGTTTTCTCTCCTATCCTTTCTCAGCTCTAGGTTGTGGCTCAGTTGCTAAGAAAGTGTTCATCTGCTCTAAACTCCCCACTGGAAGTGGCAGTGCTGTATGGCAAAAGAACACAAACATAATTTGGGGGGGTTCTGTTGAGGTTGGGGCTCCTTCAGGTAACCTGGAGCCAACCCTCTGCAAGCTCACCAAAGGGCACAGCCTGGGCTGACCTATATTCACAGTGACTCACCATGAGATTTAATGTTGTTCCTCTGTTTTGCTGGTTTCTCAGCAGTTGCTGAGGCTTTAAACAAGGGCACCCTTACCTAAACCAATCGATGGATGAGCGGTTGGGACCCAATCTAATGAAGCCAGTATTTGTAATAATAGAAGGGCACATTCCAAAGCTGTTACAGAAGAAAAGAATTTCAGATAATTAGGAGAGGAGTTGGGCAGTGATACAGATTTTAAAAGTACCCAAGATAAAATAACAGATACTAAAAATATCTGTATTGAGATGAAATCCTCATGACTCAGTACTCGAGCCAACTTCCATTCTCTAGGAATTAGTAAGGAAATCGTCCAAACAGGGTAGGTCATGGTGTATTGCCTTACTCTGGGCTTACACTTACACTTCAAAAATGTATCTCACACTGAAGAACATCAGACTCAGGTCTGACTTTTCAGAGCAATTCAAATTTTTAAAAATATATTCTGTAGCTGTAGCTTTTTAAAAAAATGGTAAGTTTATTTCTATCCAGAAAAAATTGAATAGAGAGCACTCTGGACCTTGAAAGGTAAAAGCACTGACAGCAGGACAAGAGATGCATTCTTTGTGACAAGCAGGACATCATTTTAAATACCTGTGACTCTAGCTAATAATTGAGTGGTCAATCCAGCTTCCCAAATAGAAATATAAGAGTGCCATTTCTTCTTCTTCTTTTCCTGCATGAAGTGTTCTCCAACTAGATGCAAAACTTTGAAAATATTGAAGATACTGTAAGCATTAAAAGTATTTTGAAAGAAATTAGTATTTTGAAAAGTATTTTGACATGCTGCAGAATCTCAGAAAAGCAGAAATCTGTGTTAGGAGAACTTCAGCTACGATCTGGGTCAGATTTTCAGTGCAGATGTGTCAGATGCAGTTCCTTGGAAACTCTCCATGACAGTTTGTGAGAAGAGTGACCCAATGTTTTCTCACCGTACAAAATAACCATTCTGTTTGATGATGTCATGTGCTTGAAGCACTGCTTGGATTTCCACAGCAGAGTCCTGTTTAAGCTTGTTTGGGAGAAGAGATTTCATCTCTGAACAGTTTCAAACAGCAAGTTTAGCAAATCTCTTTGGTACATCTTGACTGATCTCAATCAGTTTTCCAAATTTTAATGATCTGATTTTATTTCCAGATAATGACTATTTATGTAAATGAGATGCCTTATAAATAAATATGGAAATTATTCCATAACATTAATTACAGGCTTTATGGTTCAAACATTTATACTAAAGGCAAATGGTGCTGGGGATTGTCTTTGAGTTTATTAATTTAGTTACTTTGTTAGTTTTATTTTGACTTACGTATGTTGGGTAGTATTTCCTGAACTAAAACAAGGTGTACTGTGTGCCTGGATATATCAGAGGATATTGAAGGATAATAATCAAAATTCATCATACAGTGGTGATAGTTAATGGAACTCAGACTTCAGAATGTTTTTTGTCTAAAAATCAAAGAAATTAGGTTTATTTGGAGAATCTCAGCATAAGTGTTGCTAGCCATTTACTCAAAAATTAGTTTTAAATTAATTATAATCCTTTGCACTTCTATAGATGCTTCTCTTGAGAATCTCAGTAGTGTTCTACAAACATTAATTATGTCTAATAGTACTCCTGAGAAGTGGTTAAGTGATAGATATACTTCACCCACCATGATATAAGCAATCTCTAGAACAAAATACAAAAACTTTAAACAGCAAGACTACACAGGAGTTTGGAGCCTGAAGTATCCCCATCAGACAAAACTGTGGGGAAGGTTTAGCTACATGGAATACAATTGCTTGGCCTGGGCACGATTCAAAGGTGAATGAAAGTGTAAATAATAGAGAACTCTTCACTAGAGATCTCCAGTGAAGGAAAGTGGTTTTCTACAGCCCCACAGTATCATGTGGCGAGGCTCTGGTGATGAATTGAATACTGACTCAGAGGAAAACCGCTATTTGCAGAAATCACCCCCAGATGGGCCAAAGAGCAGGCATCCACATGGAACCTTTAAGGCTGATACATGAACAGCAGGGATAGCAGTTAAGTCCTCTCACCCCTGAGGGAACAGGAGCTGCTGAAAATAGCAACAAACCAGCAGTATCAGTGTGTACATTTACAGCCCCAGACTGTTATTTTTGCTGGCAAATCTGCATGCACAATTTCCTTCCTGATATTACTCCACAAAGAGCAGCTTTTGTTATCTGGCATTACTGATGACAGCAATACTTAAACCAGGTTAGTGCTGGCACAGACAGCAAGCTGGCTTTGGTAGATGCATTAGGATTTGGGCCGTCCTTAAGCAACCCTTCTGCTGTCCCATGCTCACAAAGTGGGCTGCAAATATTTGTCTAGGAGCTTCCAGTGTCTAGGGGAAAAGGCATTCCAGAAATGTGCTCCAGCTGTAGACGGTGATTGCTCACTAACGACAGGACAAGAGGTATGGATGGCATCACCTGCTTGACATCCCACCCACAGCAACACAGCCAAGCACAACTTCACTGTTTTCTCCCCAACTGACACCAAAAGCCATCCCCTGCCTCTCTTACCATTCCAGAGCTGATAGCTGCTGCCATGCTGCAGTGCCTTGTGAATAATTTTAGCAGTTGCTGAGGGAAACTTTACGACGCGCAGCCTAAGTCCTCAGATGCACATTCTGAAATCTTGAGGAAGCAAATTGGTGCTGGAAAGGGAAACGATAATGAGTTTGCATCAGATTTTTATTTATAGAAATTACTTGGAAGCAGCTGGATCTCCTCCTTGGGTACATTTTCTTTCCTTTTTGTTTCCCAGCATTTCTGTGCTTTTGGGACCACAAACTCTTCCATAAATATTGGCAATACATGCTTGCTGAGAAACTCTCTATACCTGCTGGAGAAAAAAATCTCATTTTATCCAAATGGAATGCCTAGACACTGCAACTAGACAACTAGTCCTTATCCTTACACATATACAATAATATTCTTTATTTGTATTTGTGAATTGTAATTCACAATACATAAGACTCCAGTGCTTCTGCTGAGTTCATTGGCCTTTGTGTCAGGGCCTGCAGGAAATTTGTTTAATTTCCCCATATTTTTATCAGTTTTAGTAATTACCTAGAGAAAGGTCTGAAAAATATTTTCTTTTTTTTTTTTAAATATATATGATATTGTATTTACTGTTTTTTAATGTATTGTCAGTAATTTATCTGGAGTGCAAAAAGCTTTTCAGAGATACTACACTTGAATCAGTAAAAGGAAGGGTAATTATACTGTTGTACTGCTGCACCATAATATTTAAATGCTTTATTGTTTCATAATCTGTCCTAGAATTTAATCATTCCAAGCAGGGACTGTCTCTTTATGTCAAAAGGGATAAGTTCCAGATTTACAAATATGCATGTGTGAAAAACCCCATGAAGATGTTGCTTCATTTCCAGTGTGATTCCAGCTTGCCAAAGGCTCCATTTCATTGCATAACCCTCTGGATGCAGATCCATTACTGCACCATAAAGTGGGTTACTGGACAGGGTAAGGCAATTCATCTTCTGAAATGCAGAGTCTTGTTTTGCCAGTTATGGAGTTTATAATTATCCATTATCATTATCTCCATAGTTATTTTTACCAAGGTTACAGATAGGTCTATTTGAAAGGTATTCTGTTGGGTTCTCTTGGAGGTTCATCCTTCCCCTGTAGAGGTAAACGAGCAGTCCACACAGCACATCCAAGCCAGTTCAAAAGGCATAAAACTGGTGAGAAAGGGAACAAGTTTAAGTCCCAAATTGCACTTAAGGAACAACTAAAATTGTTTTGCTTATGGAAGCCAGTCTCTGCCAGGAAAAACTGGGAATAGTGATAGCTACATTTTTTTTTTTTTAAAGCACTTCTGAAGCCCCATGAATTATAAATCATCGAGCTCACAATCCTGGGACAAAGTCTCTTAAAATCATGTCCTGGGACAACAGAGCTCTCCATTCTATTCCTGACTCTGTCGTTAACCATCTGCCACTTGTCTTCTGCCTTGCTTGAGTTTACCCATGTGTAAAATGCACTTAAAATAAGCTAAACCAGACTTTGAAAATTACTTCAGTGCCACAAGCTAGAAATTTGGGGTTGTAACATGGAAAAAAGTCGTTCTGTGGTTGCTGGTCCATAGAAAGCCTGCGTGTCTCTCTGGCTGCACTAAGGGGGAGGCTAAATCTGGCTGCCAGGGCTCCACCCTGCACTTGAGAGGCAGCAGAATCCCACATTAAGCATGCTTGGTGTCTACCCACCTGCACTAAATGCAGTTGTTAACTTGGGTAATTAGCTTACTATGCACAACAAGAATCTGATCCAACACTGACTGGAATTAATAAGTAGACTTGAGTGACCTTCATGTGCAAGCAAGACTTGAGGGTCTTCATGGGCAAGTAGAGATCCTTGCTCAGACATCCTGAAAATGCCTGGGAAGGGAAAGGCTTTGTCTGACTGACACATAGACACATCTCTGTGCAATGAGCCTGGCAGGAGCTGGGCACACAGTAAATCTGTCTCTGCCTGTACAGTAGCACTATTCACTGATGCTGCTCTTTATTCACAAATAAATACAGAACTACAGTCACGATTTTTCACAGGCCCTTTTGCACGTGGCTTTTAGAAGAGCCTTAAAGTGGAAAATTGATGACGAGCTACGCAGGAAAGCTTCGCAGTGAGATTTGTTAGGAAAGGTGACTTGATAAAGGTGGTGACAAGCTAATAATGAAATGGAACATTGCAATTAAATGTGCTGGTGGGGAAGAAAGTGTGCCACAGCCAAGAGCATGAGCAGCAGGTAGGTCAGGGAGAGAATGCAGCACAGGCTTGATGGAACGGGTGGGAAAGAGGGGGAGATGTAAGAACAAGAAAGACAGGACAGAGATAAGCACTGTTAGCTGTGATAGCAGTATGGGGCAGAAACTACTTTGGTGTTTGTATCTCTTGCAGAGAGAACCCCGTCCCTGACCCTGACCGCAATTTGTTGACATTGACACAATGTGTAATTAAATGCAGATAGTCCTAGAAGGACAAAAATGGGGGAGGGAAACAAATTAAGAGCAAAACAGAGACATCTATGCAACATTTTACTTATAAAAGAGCTGAAAAGTATGAAAACTGCCAGAGAGTATTTAAGAATTCTGTTTCTCTAAAAGGAGTTTCCATTAGAAATAGCCCAGAATATTTTAATGGTTATGAACTTAAACACTGCAAAGTGAGCTATTCATTAATCAGTGCAGGGATTTTGCTCAGTATACAGGTAGCTGTAACAATACTCTTAGAAGTAGGAACAGACCCATTAATCTTGGATGTTAATGCTGAAGCCTAAAATTTATGCCTACCTGAAAAATGAGCAAGGGCAGAGAGCACAGAACAGTTTGCATATCAAAAATTACTAACACTAGCCAGAAGATGGACTTCAGTATTGCTATTTATTTGAAAAGCACTTCCAGGATTAAAATATATAGGAAATTGATTTAGAAAAGTCTCTACCAGCACACCAAATAATTTAAGGACACACTACACAGAACGCAGAGCATCTTGCTGTAGTGAATAGTGACATTCAAGGTTCTTGTTCTCTCACTTACCCCACTGTGTACTGTCAGGAGAGACAAGTTCTTTATGGGTGTGGCTAGAAATGCATTTCACGTAGAAACACAAGGAATGGGCAACGTTCTCGTAGTCCCTGACACATTCCTTACAGTTTGCTGCCTGTTGAGAAAATAAACAAGACAGACTCAGCTCCCAAATATCAACCCTAGCAGCGTAGAGCTGTGCCTGCATGTGCAGGCTTGCACATGGGTGCTCCTGCCCAGGTAGACACTGACTTTTGTCAGCCACCACATTTCCTACATGGGGGTGTATGAGGAGCAGCATTTCTGCTATAAACAATATAAGTAATAAAAGCATGTGAGAAAAACAGTGTTATTTTGTATTTTTTTTTGCTTTTATATTCTCCAATTTGGTCCGATTTTCAGAGGGATGAGGTAAACCAAGAGAGTAGGTCTGAACAAATATGAGTATTTACAGTTCAGTTTTGATCAATCCACAGTATTTACAAATTCAGAACTTCATATGAATTCTATGTCTTTTATAACAAGCCACAGCTAAACCCTCAAGCCAAATATCCAGAACCAAGGTAAGCCTGATTTCAAACTCAAAATTGTATGGTTGTAACCTATCTCTAAACAGCACTTTGGTATAAAATTTGGAAACTCAGGGCTGCAGTGGACAAGGTGCCAGAAAAGTAGTATTTGTTTCTGTGTGGGTACAGGCAGGACTTGTTCTGTGGCGCTCAGCAACATCTTGACACGCTGCACTAATCTTAGCTGCACGCTCTTAAAAGATTATTTTTGTCTCGGGTTCCTTTTCTAGTCTTTGATGCAACAGCCTGCTGCGGGTTACATCAAGCCTGCAGAAAATCCCTCGGTTTTCTCATCCCTTGTTTTCCAGACAGCCGGCACCTCCTCCGGGTCCAGGCGACGGGAGCCGCAGGTGAGCCAAATCCCGGCCTATTTGGGCCGGAGATTAATTTCCGTTTAAATTAAAGATGCTGTGTGGGTTAAAAGGCTGATCTGGGGGAGGCAGAGTCGAGCCCATGGTCTGCACGCTGTTTCAGGCGCTTTCACTTAGGGCGCCCCGCTCCCCCCCCTTCATGGCTCGGAGCCGCCGGCGCCGCGTTCCCTGAGGGGGAAGGCGGGAGCGGAGGGGCCGCGTTCCGTGAGGTGAAGGCGGGAGCGGCGGACCCGCGGTGCGAGGGGGAGCGCTCAGAAGGGACCCGGTGGGTGACGGGGCACGGCCGCCTCCCCATCAGGAGCCGCGGGAGCCGGCGGGCTCCGTCCCGCGCCCGCCCCGCCGCGATCACGGGTCGCCGCCCGCCTCCCCCGCCCCGTGACAGCCAAGATGGCGGCGGAGGGGAGGGGGGATCCCGCCTGAGCCGCCCACACGGCGGGAGGCGGCGGGGGCGAGCCGGGCTCCGCTGGGATGAGATAAGGGCGCGGGCACCGAGCGCGCTGCCCCCTGAACCCCTTTACCGCCCGCTCCTCGCCCTGGGGAGCGCGGCCCCCGCCTGAGGTGAGGGCGGCGGGGCTGTCACCGCCGCGGGGCGCGGGCCGGGGGGTTCCGCGAGGCGATGCCGCGGGTCGGGCGCTGCCGCGTTCCGGGGCCGGCGGGGATGGGGCGCGGGGCTGTCAGCGGGGGCGGGGAGGCCGGCGCTGGCGGGCCGGGGGCTGAGGCGGCGCGGGGGCGGCGGTAACTTTCCGCTGGGCCGCGGTGGGAGGGGGAAAACTTTCTCCTTGTGCCCCTCAGCTCGAGGCTCCCGCCAGCCCCGGCCGGGCCCGAGAGGCTCCCCGGGCGGCGGGGCCGGCCGAGCTCTCGCCGCCGACCTGCCATGTTGTACGGGCTGCACGCCGGCGGGCCGGGGTGTGTGCGTGTCCCCGGATCCGCGTGTGTGTGCGCGTTCCCCGAATCCCTGCGTGTGCGTTCCCTGGAGCCGCGTGTGTGCGTTCCCCAAAGCCCCGAGTGTGTGCGTTCCCCCGAGCCGCGTGTGTGCGTGTCCCCCAAATCCATGTGCGGATTTTCCGCGCAGCACCACTGCGTCAGCCGGAATTGCCCAGTGGTGCTCAGCCCCACGGTGCGTGTTTCTGTCCCGACTTTCCATTCGGCAGCCGGGGTTACCCTATACCTGGATTAATGCGACGCGCTGGACACGGTGGTAGAAATTAGCCCTGGCATTTTTATCGTCGTTCTGTCATGAGGTCTGCGTGCAGCACAAGTTGCTGGCCAGGGGATGATGGTATTCAATAACTTCCTAGTGATGGTTGTTATTCCGAAGTTATTTCAAACAGCTGCGTTTAAAAATGTGCCGCTTCTATTTTGCTAAAAATGAGGTCTTGACTTTCTGCCTAGTTCTTAAACTTCTTTTTTTTTTTTTTTTTTTAATTAACTGAGTGGAATTATGGTGTTCTGGACAGCTTTTTACTTAATTTCACAATTTTTTCTGGAACTGTTGCTCAACTGGAGGTTTCCGTAAAAAGTGTTACATTACGGTACATAATATTTCACTTTTTGAATGATTAAACACAAATATGTTATCTTGGCAAGTGTCTGGTGGTTTAGGGAAACTAATTGAGTTAGTCTAGCCAAGGAAGGTCGAGGGGGAGTAAATGGATTATTTCTGGTTTGTGTGTCTAGCATGCGAGTCTTACTTTGTAAGTCTCTTGATTTTTCTCATCTTTTTAGAAAAGTCATATTTAGAGTACTGGGGAAACTTCATCTAGCTTTTGTATTGAGGAGTTTGTAAGTTTATTTAAAGTAAGCATTAAAGTGGAACTCTGGTAAATGGAGCTATTTTTTTAGGGGCTGTCGTGACTTGGCATTGAAATAGTTTAATTATCAAAAATAGAGAATTAGAGCTTAGTATCTGTGGTTAGCTTGAGGAAGGGGAAAATTGCATTGAGCCTTAAAGACAGAACAAAAAAGATTAAGCTTCTCTACAGCCTTAAGGGCTTCTGTGATGTACATGTTTTACTTCTGGAAATGTTGAGCTCCAGCTGGATGAGTACTTTCCTCAAGTCTGAGGGGCTTCTGCTCCTTTGGAACAGGCTTCACGCAATGGCCTCTTCTAAAAAGTGAATTTATTAGAAAGCTGCACGAAATATAAGATCTGCTTCTGCAAGCAGTAAGACAAAAAACACCAGGACAATTTTCTTTAAATAGGGACTGACTTAAAAATGTTTTCCCATATTTGAGATTTTTGTACATCTGAGTAGTCATATTTTTTGTAGCTGTGTGGTTGCAAGTTTGTGTTTCTGGTGAGCAGCTTGTTCTATGTGACATAACCCCAGTATGGTACTTAATGGAATTACTATATGTGTTAATGGCAATATTAACAGTTATCTCGTTAATATAGCCAGAGTTAATTATTACTTAGGAAAAGCACAAATATTGACATAGCCTGGTACACACTATAGGGCTCAGGTGAACAGAGCTGATGCAGGTCAAGCCTTAGAAACAATGTCAATAACCTGCTTCTATTTCAAATATGTGCTTGAAAGGGAAAGTAGAAAGGTAGAGAAGTAAAGCCAGCTGGTCCCTAAAGGGAGTGAGGTTGTAACTAATACAGCTGTTCTGTGTGACTCTTAAAGAAGAATTGTGGGCACCACCACTGCCAGAAGCCAGTCTGTCAGTTTTTAATCTGCAGGATTTTGCATTGAGGGTTTACTAATTTCTAGGTTAATTCCTGCTGTAGTGTGTGATAGCTGGAGAAAACTGTCTTGTGACTCTTCAGAGAGGAAGACAATTCCTAGACCTGGCTGAATGATAATGGGATTTGGTGACCTTGAGGTTTTAATACGGGAACAAGAAATTTGCAGCGTCACTTAAATATTCAACATCCTTTTTTATTTCTATCATGCTCCCTAGCAGCTGAGTTGCTGTTAGTTTTGCAAGTCATAGTAGGCTGAAATGCTTTTTATAACAGTGGCTGCAGAAACATTTATGCTTCCTGGCCAAACACAGGCAGGTTGGAATAGGAATAGTACAATAGGTACTTAGTCAAAAGCATTCTCAATCTTAATTTATCTCCTGAAATGAAGACTTGCAGGAAGCCTTCCTTCCGTTTTTTGTCCATTCCTCAACTTTCACCTGAGATTTTAAATATGGTATTGGCATGACCAGAAATTTGGAGGCCAAATGTTGCCCAGTTTATGTTGGATTAAAAAATAGAAAGTCAATATAGCCTTGTAATGTTTTTCAAATGTATATTTGGGGGTTGGTGATTACCAGCTATGTTGCTGTGTGACAGGGTTATAGTAGTAAAGGTTTTGAAACACGTGTTGCTATAAAACTGAGGTATTTTTTCTGAAGTTTCCTGGAAAGAACTGTAATACTGAAAAATACTAATAATGAAAGAACCAAAAAAAAAAAAAAAAAAAAAAAAAAAAAAAAAAAAAAAAAAAAATTTTTGTACAAGTGCCTTAACAAAGCATGATGCAATTTATGGTGATTGGTGTATTTCCAGTATATTTATCTTGCTTGTTAAAGTATTTTAACCAGGTTTCTCTGGGATGTATTCAAATTTCAAACTTTCATTAAGCTGACTCATAAAAAACCCGAACAAAAAAAGCCCAAAATCCAATTCAGGCTATTCCCTCCCCACTTTCCAATCCTTCTCCAAAACCAAACCTGTAAAAATGTAGGACCTTTGAAGAAAGTTTAGGTTGAGCTTGCCCTCATTCAGGGGTGCAGGTGTGGTGGGCTGAGATTATCTGTCCCTTGTCCTTCTGCTGTAACTTCACTGGGTGGTGACAAGAGCACAGAAATACCCTTGGTCTCTTCACTTATATATCAGTTCTGTATGTAAATAATATCTGCCACTGCAGACACAAATCATGATAGATTTTTTTGCCATCCTATGTGCAGCAAATCCTGTGGAAGCTAAAGCCAGCTATATCTCATTTTAATTGAGGGACAGCCAACAGGTAGGGGATGAAGGGGATGTGTAAGCTGTGAATGTATGACCACTGCTTAGCTCTTGTTAAAAATCTGCTGTTTTTAACACTGGTACTGACCAGTTAATTATTTGAAGTGAATGAGGTTCTTTACTATATGGTATAATAATCCTTAAATGTTTTCTGCTGTCCTTCAGTTCAGGTTTAGTCTGTGCCTGGTCTGCAAGTTTGATCTGTGGCTGCTCTGGAAATAGGCTGCTGATGCTTATTAAGTGCTCCCACAGACTCCAGAGTCAAAATTAAACTGTGCAGGCTGTGTGGTACAGCGATGGCCAGAGGTTTGATGTATAACACTCATTTCAGTAGCAGTCTGTGATGCAGAACTAGTCACTGGTAGTTCCCTAAAGAGCTCAGAAACAGTACCCAGAGGAAATTGAGAAGTGGAAATGAAAGACTTCAGAAAGTGTTGGCCGGCCTGACTATTTTAAATGGTGTATTTTTACCTTTTCAATATATTAGATGTAAGACCTATTGCATTATCTAATACATACATGAAAAATGTATATGTGTCTAATGGATATATTAGATAATGGTTACTGTACATGCTGAAATAGAGTGAACTAATAATGGGAGGGGAGTGAAAAGAGGGGGAACTGTGATCTAAAAATGGGATGAGAAGAATAAGGAGTATGTTAGAAGTAAGTTAGCCAGTTATATTCTCCCTGTCTAATATTTACTGTGAATCTTGACTTTTAAAAATCTGGGTCAGGAAAATCATTAATGCTAATTAATAAAATTATTTCAGTTTGCCCATCTGAAATGAAAGTGAACAGGCAGTAAGTGTGATGTATAAGTACATGTATGTAAATAAAAAATCCCAAGAGAAAGCCTCCACCTTGTGTGCAAGCTTTATGCAAACACAGAGAAGGATTTTGTGGGCTGGACTCTTGAGTTTTGGTTTTGACTTGAGCTTCAGAAGAAACCTGTGGGCCTAAGGAATTACTCTCAAAATTCCTAACTCTTCAAGATCAGGATCAGCAGTAGTTACCTTGGCACATCACTGCTCTTCAGCTAATTTATGGTGATTTTCAGGAGACCCTAGTGTTGTTTTCTGTTACTTTGCTGGCTGGGAAACTGTCCAAGCGATATGTGATAGTTGATTGATGTATTTGTAGCTCAGCTGGTAGTGGTACTTGCACACTTATTTTTTTGTGGAATAGATGCTGAACATTTTGGTAAGTGGATGTAGAGATTTGCTGGATGAGGGAGGTATTAGTGAGTGTTATCCCTCCATTAAACCTTTCCAGTGGGGTGTAAATGATCTGCAGGCAGCAGTTACAGCCCTGCAGAGGCAGTCTGTCCATGGCTGTCCCTGTCTATAATTTGTAGTGTGGTTGGGTTCCATTTTTCTCATTACAGAACATTTTTGCTGGCTGGAGGAAAAAAAAAACTCATATAAAACATTCTAAATATCAAAGTGTGTTTTTAAATATAGCAAAAAGTGTTAGAAACAATCCCCTCCTGTCTTCTATCACACCATGAATTCAAAATTTAATTTGGGTAGAGGATGGTTTCAAAACAAAACCGAGGTTGGCGTGTGTGTCCAAATGTGGCAGGGTGAAAGCAGGTCACTTCTGTCACTATTGGTTGATGCACTTCAGCATTTTCAGTGACAGATTTTGGGTTTGAAGCTCAATATTGGAAGATTTTCTATTTTCATTTGCCTTTATCTACTGTGCCAAGAGAAATAGAACATTCTGTTTGGGGACTTCTTTTAAAAAGTTGTATAGTAAATAGTTGTACAAAAACATGGACAAGCCACCCTCCTGAACTGTGCTTTGGATGAAGTAATATTTACATTTTATAGTGCTTATTTTGGCTTTCCTCCCTCTGATTTGCTACAATTTGTTTTTTGAATCCCTCCCTACAAATACAGTTGTATTTCAGAAATCCTTTCCATTCTTTGGTGGTGCCTTTTAGCCATAAATACTGTAATCTAGAAAGAAAAGTGGGAGTTTTCAAACTGGCCCTACTGAGATTTGTCTCTGTCATGAATCTTGTGGGATACTTGAACATCCCTTTCCTGAATTTTGTAGGCAGGTTTGAATTTCACGGGATTTTGCTGTGGCACAACTGAAATGATGACCGAAGCAGCCTGTGCCTTGTTAGACCCTTTTATAAATGCCTTGATTTTATTGAGGCTACACACAACACTGAAAAACAAACAGATAGACCACTTGGTGAGGGAAGAATGTGTAGAAGATGTGGGATATGTCTGATCTCGCCCTCAGGCTGAAGTCTATTCCTACCTTCTCTCTGTCATTTACTCTGCTTCCTCCTCAAAGCTTTGATGCTGTAGATGATCGGTTCCTGCTTGCTTTGTGGTACTCATCCTGCTGAATCT